TGTTCCGTTTGTAACATCTCGAAATATTCGTAGTAAATTTCATAAAGATGCAATGTCCATTTGGCCATGTCCGTCTGTTTGTCTGATGAAATCCCGAGATCAAAAATATAAATTTGAAATTGCAGTTTTGTGTAGGCTTCGGCATTATTCCAAGAATGTTTAATATTGGAAATGGAATATATTGGTGCATTAAATATTCAATATAAAATATTCAATTTTTCCTCATTAGGAAAATGTTTACTTTTTGCACCAAAAATTCTTCAAAATCTTCCATTTTGAAATTCACCGAGGTGGATATTATTAAAACCATTGCACAATGGATCCACATCAAAATTTTCGGTCCAAAACTATTTTAACGTTTCCATATGTCTTCTAGAAACCAACGGTGAACTCAACATCAAATTCCAAAATTTCAGTTCTATCCCTCTTCCCAGTACTAAATTTAGTAGGATCAATTACTTTTCGAACATGTATTTTCAAAATAATCACCATATCTCACGCCTCATATACCAAATGTAAAGCACAGATACTACCAGTAAACAAATTTAAAATTGTATTGTATTGTATATTGTAAACTGAATTGTATCTCTATCTAATCCAATATCAAATATAGTACCATTTAGTACTTTTTGTACAATTATAATGAAATTATAATTCCGAAATCACTTCCATATGTCCAGGCTAAGCATGAACAGCGACCCTTATAACAAATTTCAGATTTCAAGCACTATGTGCTCACCCAATACCAAATTGTACCAAATATAGTACTTTTCGTGAACTTATAATACACAACAAAAACCCACCATCAACAGAAACCCCAATACAAAATTTTAAAATTACAGCTTTATCCATTCACCCAAAACCCAACTGTTTCAAATTTAGTACCATTTAGTACAGTCCGCACACATTGTATACATTTCCAAAACTACCTTCATATATCAAACTTACTTTCCAACCTTGATTCTCATACCAAATTTCAAGTTTCACATAATTCAAACGGTACCTTTATAGGAGTTTAGTACAATTTTACAAGTTTTTGTACAAATAAATTTGGAATTTCCAAAAACCCCTTGGTACATCTATTGTAGACTCTATCAAAAACATGAAAACTTAAAAATTTCTTCTCTACCCGTTCACCCTAAACCTAACAGTTCAAAATTTAGTTACATTTAATACAGTTCGTACACTTAGTACACGATTCGAAAATAAAAAAGCCTATATCAAACTTACTTTCCAAACTTAATTCCCATACCGAATTTGGAGTTTTTGGATATATCCGCTCACATAATATCTAACCTTAAAGTTCGAACTAGCACCCCTTCAGTGATCTATATGGTCCTGGGTGAGCAATGGTTAGTAGAGCAAATTCTCTATAGATTTTGGAGTACTTGGTTTAACTTTTTTGTGGCTCCAAATAAAAGGCAGGCATGAAAAATGTTGACCTGATAGCTTATAACCCTTTTGGCGTTTTGCTATACAGACCCAATGTTGTAATCTCCGATTTGATTTTCCCATACACAGAATAATAAGGGGCTCCATAAAAATGTCGACTTGGGAAGATTTTACCGCTTGCAGCGAATTCTAATGAAAAATGTGGTTTGAATCTTAGAAGCATCTAAAATTGAATTTTACCCTTAAGACATGTACCGATATTAGCCATATTTGATATGAATGATTCTAAAAGTAATTGAAAGGTTTCTTTAGATAAATATCACTCCTATATTACATGCGTAATATTACCTGTGTAATAAGTTAACAACTCCCTGAAATTTTAAAAGAAAGTCAGGAATTTATTCACTGCAAATAAGTACTACAGGCTGTTCTTACAAGCATTTTGAAATTTATTAAAAAATTCACTATTTTTCTTAAGAGTGTAAATATCTATCCTCCTTTTCTATAATACCATTTATTGAAAACGTCTCTGAAAAACCTAACATTCTTCCAATAAATGTTAACGTTATAAATATATGTACATAACCACTTACAACTATGGTTCTAAAAATAATTTCTTGTTTTTTTGTTCGTCTCCATGCCAACAAATAATGGAGAATGCTTTCCACGTTCCTTTTTGGAGAAGCAACAAGTTGCTTAACATGTCTATAAGAGACAACGAACGACATCCATTTGTTTTCAACAACATTCTTCTGCTTCTTCTGCTCAAACATTTAGTTAGACGCACCCATGTTCAATAGCTGGTTGGCTGTTCAAATACAGCAGACCCCGTATAACGTGAGTCGTAAACATAGAGAAAATTAACATTGTAATCAGATCCAAATATGGAGGGGGGAGGTGAATTTCAACAGAACGTGATTTTAATACAATATTAGAACTAAAGTCAATATTCTGAGTTTCTGTATTAAGTCGAGTGCAACCGTGTTACGCGGTGCTCTGGGATCAATGATCTAAAAACTTTCCAATTATGTTTGTGGTTGTTTGTCTTCTTTTATTTAGCTTTTAAAGAAATTGGAGGGTTTGGCTTATACACACAACAAATTAAAGATCATCGATGGTGTGAGTGATAACAAAACACAGAGAATAATCAAAAAGAATAATCTGAATATAACTCTGCGTCATAATATGAAACTCTGTGTGTTCTGAAAAGGATTTTTTGTGGAATGTTTTACTATTTAACTGAAATAGACTATTTCACAAGGACTATGCAAAATATCGTCGTGTATTTTTCAAGGTATAATTGCGGGTTTTCAATAGAATATTCATCTGTAAGTCTGTAATATTTACAAAAAAAATGATTTTTTTTTGTCAAATAATTAAAAACAACAATTTCCGGAAAATAAAAAAACTATTTAAAAAACATGTTAATTTGAGTCTGGGAAGATCTTACAAAAGTATTAATAATCTCTATATAAACAAGTTAAAAAGTATGAGTGGGTATTGCCGATAGATGTATACCCTCAGCCATTGTTAGATTATCTTGATATATTTTGACTTCTGTTATGATCATTCAAATTGTTGACCCTCTATGGAGTAAGTTTCGAAGGAAAGGGCCAATACTGTTCATTTCGTATCGGACTTTATTGCTTACTTCCTCCACTTTGTTTGAGATATGTGATAATTTTTAGAGAATGTAGAGCTTCATGGATATTCAAAATTTTTACTCTTTGTGGAAAAGGTACCCGAAGCAGTGGACCGGTGAAGATGGGGTATATCTTCACAGCAGATTTTATGTTAGTACAAATAATGGGATGTGCGATGATATGACGAGAACTGGATGATTATTTCGAATTTTATGATCATTTTGGTTATTCCAAACTTTGACCCTTTGTGGGAGAGGTGCCAGAAGAAGTTGTCCGATCTCTACCATCTTTATAACAGATCTTGTATTGATAGAAATTGATAAAAAAATTGAGACGTGCTGAACGGAATCGAATGTTAATTTTGCGTTTTATGAGCTAAATGGATATTCAAATTTTCGACCTTCTGTGGGGGAGGTACCAGAAGGAGTGGACCGATATATTCCGTCTTAATTCCATATCTTGGGTTCATAAAAATATTAGGATAAGTGAAATTCGAAGACAATCGGACTCTTACATCATATTTTATAAAAGTTGTAATTAACCAAAATTTTGACCCTTTATGGGGGAGGTACTTGATGGAGTGGACCGATATTGTCCACTTTCGCACCTGACGTAGCACTGATGGAAATATTATGATTTTGAAAAGTTGGAGTAAAATCGGATTATATTTTCTCTTTCTGTGCAGAAAAGATATTTCTTGAAAATTTCGACCTTTTGTGGGGAAGGTACCAGAAGGAGTGGACCGATATACTCCATCTTAATACCAGATCTTGGGTTCATAAAAATATTAGGATGTGTGAAATTTGAAGGCAATCGGACTTTTATATCATATTTTATAAGAGTTGTAATTATTCGTAATTTTGACCCTTTGTGCTGAAGTGGACCGATATTGTCCATTTTCGTACCTGACCTAGCACTGGCGCAAATATTAGGTATTGCAAAGTTAGAGCAAAATCGGAATATAGTTTCTCTTTCTGTCCAAAATTTTTTTTTTTTTTGAAAATTTCGACCTTTTGTGGGGAGGTACCAGAAGGAGTGGACTGATATTATCCATCTCCGAACTCGATCTAAGTTTGACAAAAATATTACGATGTGCCAAGTTTGGACTAAAGCGGACACTACCTTCGAGAGGTATAGTGCCCACCAGCCAGCCAGAACATTCCAAAAACGCCGTTCTCAGCAGTTGGGCATGGCTCGGTTTGATTTGATTTGCATTTGTTCCCGTACAAAATTCAATTGACGAAAAGAATGTTGCCTGCGGACAAGCCTCGTCGTTTGGATTGGCCCAAAGGTCCGTCGAATATGGGCAACCCTGTACCCTCTCTAGACATATGACTGGGGGTATAATAAATCACGAATCAAATACTGTGTTCAATGTTCTTCCGATGTTACTGATTTGATAACATTCAATTAAATATTTATCAGTAACATCAGCTGAGAGAAATTGCTTTCTTACAAATAATACAAGAAATAAGGGGATTTGCAAACATTCAGTACGTCAAATGGCAAAGTTGATATTCCAACTCGTTTTCAATTACATTGGATCTATCGAATAACATCCAGTAAAAAATTTTACAAGTGTTACAAATTATTGCCTTATAAAACCCACATATTCCATGTGATACGTATGTGTGCAATGGCGCCATTTGTTATCAAAGTACAGCCTCTTTCTGTAACAACTGCGTTTCAGTGAAACTCTTTTCTCGCAGGCCAAAGGGCATCATCTATGACGCAGTTAGTTAGGGCAGCCATTATATCTCACATCTCTACAGAAGGCAACACGGGATTTAATTGTTCGCCCAACAAAGGTTACAACGTCGTAGCCAACCGACTCGAATTATTGGTAACTACGCAACAGACGATGTAAGTAAAATTGATGACGTTGCATTAGGTTGCCCAGGGAAACAAGAATGTCCATAAAGAAAATCTGGCATAACATGCTTACGGGTACCACGAGCGAACTAACGTATGGCGATAACCAGAAAAGGCCAAAAATTTAAAACAAGAATAAAAACCAGCTTTGGTTGGGACCACTAATCGAAGAGAGTTTTTAGAGAGAAAAACTCAAGAGTCGATTTCACAGAGAAGTTGAGAACAAAAGAGAGGCTCACCCAAAATGCGGGCCATAAGTGACGCCATGGAAATGCCAAAGCAAAATAAACCCAACAACGTGAAGCCAGTTCGTAAATAATGGAGAAACGTCAGTATACAATTGACATTTGAGTGTTTTACTTTGGTTTGTCAAACGTTCAGTGGGACAGACAGACAGAAAAGGGAGACGAGTTTAATAAAATCAAAATAAAAAACAAACAAACAAAATATTTTTGTTTTTGTAAAATACCAACGCCGCAAAAGGGAATAACGAATCCAGGAAAATCGGAAATATGTGGAAGCTCTTGTTACAAAGTGCAATTGTGTGTGCTGCCCTAAGTTCGGTTTTGGCCATTGAATGCTATGTGTGTGACGGTTCGGACACCAATAATCCCTTCCAGTGTGGCGAGTTTTTCGAACGCTTCGATGAACCCGATATTCAACCACAAAACTGCTCCAATGTCCACGGTGCCAAATTCTGTATAAAACATGTGGGTCGTTTCGAGGGTGGTATTGGTGCCAAACGTTTTTGCTCCTCCAAAGATTTGGGCAACTATTGTGACTATGTACGCAACAAAGGTGATCGCATGGATTACAGATCGTGTATTTATACCTGCAGTACAGATGGGTGTAACGCTGCCGCCAGTGTTTACCAACAACCTCTGCTCTCAGCGTTGAGTGTGGTGGTAGTAGTGTTGGGCCTAAGGCTGAGAGGTGTCTTCTAGAAGAATTTCGGCAGACAGGTTTGGTAACTTACGAATCACAATTACAGCCATTATGGGTTTTTGCGATGCCCCCCCGAACAGCTGCGTTGTTCCGGCCAATGGGTCAACGACTCTCAACTGCAAGCATTTTTTTCCTTTCATAAACAACGATAATCATTCTTTTAGTTAAATACTTATTTTTTCTCGAATAGCTTTATGTAAATGTAGTCCATACTCTTGACAGCCCCTCACTCCGTTTTCAACTTAGTTTTAAACAATGACTTTATTGTTAAAATAAATTTAAAATATGTATTATTAAGGAAATAAAATAAACATGAACAAAAGAACATGAAAAAAACTTACAATTGTTTAACTTTATTATTCACTTGTTTTTTTTTTTCGGTTGATAGGTAGAGGTAGGTATTTTTTCTGTTTGCTTTTATTATTTACTGTATTGTCACATTTTCTTTGTCTTCTTTTCCCCCCGTCTTTCTCCACTGTCATTGGTGAGTGTCATCGTTTTTTTAAGCCTGGAGTAAAAGAGAGTCTTGTTTCAACTCTATCTAAAAATGAATGTTGATAGTTGGCAACTCCTGTTAAATTCACTCTCATTTACTCTTTCTCTTTAGTTGCCACTCTTGCTGGCTGGTTGGCTGGCTTGTCATTTTGACTCATTCATTTGTTTTGACAACTAATAGAATATAAATAGTCTATACGACGCCTTTAAGATTGGCTTCGGCACAAAACTAATCAATTGATTTAATTTTTATGTTGTTGACCTCTATGAAATTATTTTGAAGGAATGCCGACAAACCCAACCATGATGCGATTTATAAGACACGAATTTAATGATTTCGAAAAATCGTAATCATTGTTTAAAATATTTTTGTGGATTTTGAGCATATGCGAAACCCCTTATGCTGACTTACTTGGCATCTTTAATCATGTTTACATCAAGTCTCATTATCATGATTACTACTGTACTATATCAATATAATACAACTACATTCCAGCAAAAAATACTCATTGCAAATCGGGTAAACAACACATTATTTGACTTATTTTCGGCCACAAAAATTCGTTTAAAAAGTAAGTAATTATTTATCGACTTACAGTGGCAAGAAAATATTTGCTAATTTCGTGAGAAATGTTCTTGTTAAAATATTGTATTTATCTAAAAGTCATTCTTCAAAAAACACAAAAAAAAATGTTGAAAAAATTGGCTGTAGTACCCACTACAAACTTCAATTACGAAATTTGAAACAATTCTGCTGAATAAAGCGCTAAAATCATCAAAATACCGAATATACGGAGGTATTGTTTTATGGGGGCTGTACGAAGACTTGGACTTGCATACGCATTTTTTATGTTATAGGCTGTAGTACCTATTACGAACTTTAAATGCAAAATTTGAAAAAAATGCCATTAAAAAATGTGGCCGAATATTGGAAGATTTCGTTCTGAACAAACAATTTTCTGTCATAGGCTTTAGTATCCATTACGAACTTCAAATACCAAATTTGAAACAATTCCGGTGAATAATAGCGCTAAAATCATCAAAATGCCGAATATCGGGCGGTACCGTTATATGGGGACTATACGAAGACGTGCACATGACCAGACAATTTTCTCCCTTAGCCTGTACTATCCAATAAAAACTTGAAATACAAAATTTGAATGAAAATACAAAGGTGAATAATATCGCTAAAATCAACAAAATTAATATGGAGACGTGGACCTGCACAAACAATTTTCTGTCATAGGCTGTAATATCCATTAGGAGCTTTAAATTTGAAACAATTCCGGTGAATAATGCCGCTAAAATAATGAAAATACCGAATATCGGGAGTTATCGTTTTATGGGGGCTATACGAGGACGTGGACTTGCATAAGCGTCGTTTATTTATGTTATAGGCTGTAGTACCTATTACGAACTTTAAATACAAAATTTGAAACAACCCCATTAAAAGATCATTGAAATATCGAATATCGAGAGGTATCGTTCTATGGGGGGTGTACAAACAGCTAGACCCACATAGGCAATTTTCCGTTACAGATTTGTTCGAATTGGTCACCTTTGGTACGAATTATGACCTTTAAACGTCAAACGTCAATGAAACCGTCACACGGTGCCCGAATGTTGCTCTGCGGTGTTTTGGCCCATTCCCGGCGAAGCGCTTGCTTGAGGTGGTCGATACTTTGACATAATAGTCCAACGGATTGGTATCCGGAGATTTTGGTTGCCATTGTGTTCTGGAAATGAAGCGAGGAACCTCATTATGTAACCATTCTTGGGTGGTGCGTGCTGAGTGCGATGGTGCTGAGTCGCGTTGGAATGTCCAAGGTCCGCGACCAAAATATTTGCGTGTCCAAGGCTTTAATACACCCTCCAGAATATTTTCGCAAAAATATTCGGCATTTATTATGATGCCACGGTCGATTAATACGAGCGGAGAGCGATCATCGGCTGTTATGGCTGGTGGCCAACCGAAGGTGCACATTTTCAGCTGAACTCTTTGGCAAGTAAACACAATCATTTTGTTCGTTACAAACTGCTAGACAACGAATGTTTTCTCATCGGAGAAAATCAAATTCGGCAGTTTACCACTTTCCGCTAAGTGAAGCAACTATTTAGCTCTTTCGAGTCTGTTTTCTTTCTCTTGCGGTGGAAGTTCCTGCACTTTTTGGAATTTCAATGGCTTTTCCCCGAGATCATTTTTCAATATTTGCCGAATGGAAAATTGCGATATGTTCAGCTCACGAGCCATTTTTCGGCCACTGCGACGCGGGTTTCGACCAAGTCGCTTCCTTACTTTTCGAACCATTTCTGCTGATGTTGCTGTTTTTTTCGTCCACTTCCTTGACGTCGATACGAGACACAAAAGATTTATTCACATTTAAATGCTGGAGTGTTCTAACGATAGCCACTTGTGGTTTTACAGCCAAATATAAAGAAATCATACTATCACGCTTGACTTTTTTTCTGGAAAATTCTCACCAAAATGTAAACAATATAAAAAGCTGTCACTGGAATAATTCTAACAGCTGTCGGACGCGCGGCTTAGAAATGACAGCAGTCTAAACTTGCTTGCATTTTTTTCATCTCATCCTGTATACTTGGTTGGGTCTTAGATAAGTATTTCGAGGAGTTACAATCGGAATGACAAAGTTAATATACCCAACAACAATCGATATTTTGACGAATTCCTTCTCCTATTCCTATTTCCCAGACAGCCTTGAATGCCTAGATCTTGCATATGCTCGCCTTATTTGAAGCATCCTTCTCAAATGAATTTGGCGAATCCTCATGGAACTTATCGACACCTAATAAACCAGAATATCCATAGATTGGATTTCCATTAGTGATAGTTAACATATAACATTAAACTATTTAACTAGTTAAAATTAACCGGTATTTAAACATTAAATCTATCTGTCAAAGCAATTGCAAAAAGTAATTTATCTCACTAATTTTCAGGCATTTTAAATGCATCACCACTTCAAATTTATTTTCAGCCTCAACGCTGTCACATCTCACCTGACATCGTTTAATTTTCGCTAATTAATAGAATTTACAACAAAACGAACGTAATAAATTACCAAATCGAAACATTCATTACTACTTCGGTCATCAATGACATTCTGACTGGTTAATTTATATCTGCTGATTTTGTGTTTGTTGTTGTTGTTATCTTTTTTTCTCGCTCTCTATGGTGTGGGTTTTCATTTCAAGTTCCAGTTTTCAGTTTGCCTTAGTTTTTTTTTTTTTGCTACTGTATTCCATTCAGTTTCGTTATCGAGGTACTTTGTAAAGCTTCCCACAACAATCAATTGATTGAAGTAAAGTTAAGTCTATCGTCATGCAAGCCAACCATCAAACCCGACCAATCAACCACCGCCGTCAAATGTGTGTCAATCTAAATTCGATCATGTAAAACGATCTCAATTATTGACATCTTCTTGTGTATGTGTGGATTTGTTGTAAGTTTACGATTGCACAAATATATATGCATTCATACAAATATATATGGTATGAGCATGTAATTAGTTGTATTGTATTGGTATTGGTGTATCAACAGTGGGTTTGATTACATTATGGAGTAATGTTCCATAGAGATACTGACAGAGCAGAGCTACATTTTTTAAAGAGACAAAATTTCTCTCAACTGAGCATTGTTATACCTTCCACTATAGTATGAGAGAACTATTAAGTTTGTCATTCCGTTTGTAACACCTGGAAATATATATTCTAGACCCCACGAAGTATATGTATTCTTGATCAGCATAAAATTATGTGTTGATTTAGCGTCTGTGAAAATCACTCTAGCCTCTGAAGGAAATTAATTAGGTTGATACAATTTTACTCAGATGTGTTATGTCTGCAGGAATTTTGGTATTGAAAATGGGCTATATACCACCCACCCATATAACCCATATAACTGTACCGACAGATTAAAGGCAAGAAACATTCTTGCATAGAACTGTCAATGTAGGTCTAAGTTTTGCCATAGTCCCCATATATTTGTATCTCCAAATATTCGGTATTTTCATTTGTGTCCACTTTTCACCTCAAATGTTTCAAATTTGCAATTTAAAGATCATAATGGGTACTGCATCCTGTGAGAGGAAATTGCATATGCAGGCCCATGACTTCGGATAGCCCTCATATAACTGTACCTCCCGATATTCGGTATTTTGATGTTTTTTGCGACTTTATTCACCTAGTTGTTTCAAATTTCGTATATAGCGTTCGTAATGGGAACTACAGTCTATGACAGAAAATTGTATATGCAGGTTCAGCTTTTCGTATAGGTCCCATATATCAGTGCTTCCCTATATTCGCCAGATGTTCGTATATCCCTCTATATAACGCTACCTCCCTATATTCGGTATTATGATGATTTTAGCGACTTTAATCACCAGATTTGTTTAAAGTTTCGTATTTGAATATCATAATAGCCTATGACCGAAATTGCGTTTTGAGCTTCTCGTCTCCGTATGTGCCTAACATAACGGCTACTCCCTATATTCGGTATTTTTATACCCTCCACCTTGGAAAGGAGGGTATATTAACTTTGTCATTCCGTTTGTAACATCCTTAAATATTCGTCGTAGACCCCATAAAGTATATATATTCATAATCAGCATAAAATTCTAAGTCGATTTAACGATGTCCGTCTGTCTATCTGTCCGTCCGCCTGTCTGTCTGTTGAAATCACGATACAGCCCACATTATTTGACGTAGAGCGCCAAAATTTACCAGAGCAATTTGAATTGTGTCTAGGATGGTTGGTATTGAAAATGAGATATATCGGTCCACGTTCTGGTATAGTCCCCATATAACGGTACCTCCCGATA